TGCAATAACTCGGAATAATTATAAGAGGAAAGTGTGTCTCTAATGCTTTTATATTATCACGTATGTCAAAGTCTACATTATTCATGTTGTTACAATTATTGATGTCATATTTTGTCACAAAAAAGTTGCTGCGTGCTTGTAGTAGCATCTAGACGCCTCAAAATGTCGCTGATCCTGACTCGGAACGAAATTCATTTTTAAGATACGTTGGAAGTTGAAATTAGTCTCAAAGAATCATGGCTTAGATTACATCGAAAGGGTGTGGGTGTGGTGAGTGTGGGCGAGTGTGGGTATGGGGGTTGTGGGAGGGTGTGGGTATCGATGTAGATCTTCTCATCACACCCATACCTACACCCACGCCCAAGCCCACACCCTCACTCTCATCCACCCACGCCCTCACACCACACGCACACCCACACCCGCCCTCATTACAGACCTTAGCAACCGGGGTCATAAATCAACGGCCATTGTCTGAATTTTCTTAGCAACGGAGGAAAATGAAAACTGGTTGCTTTCCTATGGCTCCTTAGCAATCATATGGCGCGAAACCATACATCATTGAATATGTTCCTATACCAACGAGCTGCGCATTACAGACCGTTACAAACAAATTAATTAGTTAGCTAGTTAGGAAAATGGGGAATAAATAATTGGTAAGTAATAAATAATGACTAATATTTAACATATATAATATTCTAGATATCAAATATAACATTTAATATTTGATATTTTAATTATAAAATATTTATTATTTACTATTCATCGGTTTATTTTTTATATTTTACATTTTTGCTTTTAAATATGTAATATTTAATGGTTCGTTTTCAAATCATTATTGGGCAGTGACAGATCATCATTGCAATATCATTAAAAAAAATAGAAGTTATGTACTGAAGATGTATATGACAATATAAATAACTTTTTCAGCATTACATTGTTAAATGAATCAAACGAGCTGAGTAAAGGTAATGTGTTAACATTTTCGAAATGATTAAATTTCAGAGCGCGCGTGTCAACTATAATAATTGTTATAATGCTACTTTATTGATTTATCCGATATTTTTTTTAAAAGAATTGTTTTAAAACATCTAACAATATATTGTACAGTTCTAACAAGTAGAGTTTGTGAGTTCCACATTTTGGCCCCTCCAGCGGCTGCACTGACAAGTTTTTTGTTCTCTTGTGATGTGAGTAACGTAAGTCGTTTCCAAATTGTGTATATTGCCATAGACTTGTTATTTCGTTGTCTATGTGCATGATTTGTTTATTTTTCTTTTTGTCTATTTCACTCACAATGCACTTTATTCTGTTTCATCGAAAGGCTTCTGTTTTGTATCTATTTACCTTTAGTCTTACGAAAGGGTGTGGGTGCGAGTGTGGCTCTTCTCATCTTCTGGATCTAGATTCACACCCCATCCATAGCCATCCACACTCACATCCACTCACAGCCACACCCACCCACACCCATACCCACACCCATACCCACACCCATACCCACACCTACACTCACATCCATACCCATCCACACCTACACCCCACCCACCCTCACACCAACCCACACCCATACCCACACCTACACTCACATCCATACCCATCCACACCTACACCCCGCCCACACTCACACCAACCCACATCCATACCCATCCACACCTACACCCCACCCACACTCACACCCGCACACACCCACATCCACACACACTCACATCTACACCCACACCCACAGCCTTTTACATATATGTAGATAAGAAGTGTAATGGGTTTCTTTTTCCAACTTACAGATGATAATTTCTGTCCACGCAAGCAACAATGTGTTTTTGATTCTTATAAGACGCAATTCGAAACATGAGTAATCACGGTTACCTGTTATTACTAATAAAGAAACACATTGATAAATTTTTTATTGATCTAAAAGTATGTTTGTCGAAGAATTTTTTTTCGCGTTTTTCTTTTTCTTTTCTTAAACAGAAAGTAAAAAATAACTTATTCTGGCAATGTATAATAACTTTCCTTTTATTTTAAATATCTTACCATTGACCATACTGACAAGTGTTTTAATAAATAAGCAAACGGTTTCGTAACTTTTAATTTTAGAACTTCCTCACAGGTCGTTTTACATAAAACTTATTGTTGTTGAGGTCTTACTAGATGATAAAAGTATTGCATAAGTTTTGGCTCCATTTTCATTCATTTTTTTGTATTTTTGCAACATCTAAAGGCGAACAGGCCTTAAGGATACATATGTAAATTTTTACTAATGAGCTATCATTCAAAAGAAACCAAAAAATTTCAATTTATGTTAATAACAAGAAAACACTAACTTGACACAAAGCAGTAAAAAAATTTTAACAAATATATTTTTATTTTAAACACATAAACAACAGCGACTTAGTCTACTTCAGAATTAAATTTGATAACAGCAGAACGAAAAAAGTGACTTTCAGCAAGTTAATGAGTAAATGACTGCTATTCTCCCAACTCTCATAAAAAAAGAGAAAAAATTAGTTTGATAAATCTTGTTTAAATATCTTTATCAATATAGAACCATTTTAATATTGATGCTGACTGAGCACAACTTGTTGTAGATAATAGCTTTATCCACTCCTGAACATTACAGAAATTTTAAAAAATAAAAACAGAAGCAGAACTTACGAAATGTCTTTCAGGTAAACCATTTTCGAAATATTCATACATGTTACATTATGACTTAAATTGGGAAAATTTACCTTACCTGTTGTGTTAATCTTCAAGTAGCAAACATTTATTTTTTGCACCGAAACTCGAAAAAAGAGTAGGCGATGGGTAAATATTGTAATTGAGACATATCGTATATATATAATTTATAGCTATACGCACATATTTGTCATATAAGTAAAGAGAGAGCAAAAGAGAACGTTTTTTGACATTTGCTTCGTCAATCTCATACAATTTCACATATCGTATAGTATCGTTCTGAATAGCAAACAATGGTACGTTCATTTACATCGTTTCTGACGGATGATGTTCTTATGTCTTCGGAAGAAACAGGAACAGTTTTCGGTGTCATCTATTTGATTATTACTTTGTTACCGTCTGTTGTTGCGCTTCTAAGTTCTTTTTTAAAATTTCTCACGAAATTATCGTTTTTTCAAGATGTTGTCGAATGGCGTATGGACCTTTATACACTAGGTATTATCGAGCGAATATGTGTTAGTGCGATAAAATATATCAATACTAATGATGATCGTACAGTAGCAACCGAAATACCTAGAGATGAAAGCCTGCGTCGAATCAATGAAATAATATTTACACCGAAAAGGTGCAGACGTATGAGAGATTTTATTTGTATGTCGTCTCCATCAGGGGTGGAACCGGTTGAGAAATATTAAAACGGTCCGGTCCGGCCGGTTGAAAAATCCTACCGGTCCGGTCCGGCCGGAAACCGGCCGGTTGAAAAATCCTACCGGTCCGGTCCGGCCGGAAACCGGCCGGTTGGAATCACATGTCCAACCGGTGAAATTCCGGTGAAAATCGGTTAAAAACCGGTGAAAAAATGTCGAATTTTTTTTTGAAAACCTATTTTTAGAAAAAATGGCTCCAAATATGAAATAGTTTAAGGCGCATGTAAAAGGCACTCATCATAATAAATCTTTTTAAAGAGAACCTCAGAAAAAACGATTAATATAACATATATTTTGAGTACTTTTTCACGTATTCTGACAGAAAAAACATGTGATACCTTAGTTTTTATGGTCAAAAACAGGGTTAACAAAGAAGATTTCTGAAAACTTTCAACCGGTAAAATTCCGGTCTTTACCGGCCCGGTCGATTTCTTCAACCGGTCCGGTCCGGTCCGGTACCGGTCCGGCCGGACCGGTACCGGTTTGCCGGACCGGTTCCAACCCTGGTCTCCATGCCAAACAATGATAATATCGATAGTCATACTTGATAAACTCTTCGTACCGCAGCATTCAGTTGAAACATGTGAAACATATGAAAAACTATTTCAAGGCAACCCAATATATGACAGCGGATGTTCAATTAGACCGAAATTTGCGCCGAACATATCTGCCAGCGAGTTTTTCAATCCTATGAACGCATTTCGACCTATTACACCATTGCCATCTACAAATATTTCCAGTTACTGTCAAAACTCGACTATGCTGCAAAACGAAACATCGGCAGATGACAAAAGCATTCGATGTGTGACGTTTATTTTCAAATGGAATAATATTATCGACACATTGACCAATGCTCTTCAATGGCATCAGATAACCACATTTATTTTTAAAACAATTTTTTATTATACATATAAACGGCAAAATGTTGTAGGGCACTCACAATGGTGGTCAAAAACATCAATTTCTCATCGTATTTCCATACTCGTTTTGTTCACCATAGTTTGGACAACTATATTCGTCATTTATCTATTAATAATAATTGCATTTTTCAAAACTCTGATATCGACTCAACTTATGTTACCAATTCAAACAGGTGTTGTACTGCTTGCTTCACTGTTTTTTCTTCCATTACCATTTTATAACGCATTGACAGTATTTCATTGGACCATAAACACTATTCGGGAAAAAGTCAGCGAACAAGAAATCTTACATCCATTTAATGGCTGCCGAAATGTTTTGATATTTGCTAAGGATGATGAACATCAATAGAAATACACATATAAGAATATTTATTCATCAAAAGATGAGACAAATAACAAGCGTAATAAAATAATTACCACTTCTGACTCTAATAAAGTATATTCCTGAACAATGAATATTTCTTTCTATGATATGAAAGCGAACGAGGGTGGGTGCGAGTGTGGGATGTACAAGGGGGAAAAAACGGAATCCTGGAATCTTGAATTCCTCTGGATTCCAAAGATTCCCTGTGATTCTTTCGGATTCCAAGGACTCCATTGGATTCCAATGGATTCCATCGGATTCCATCGGATTCCATTGGATTCCATCGGATTCCATTGGATTCCATCGGATTCCATCGGATTCTATCGATTCCATTGGATTCTATTGGATTCCATTGGATTCCATGATTCCGGGGATTCCATTGGATTCCATTGGATTCCATCGGATTCCATCGATTCCATTGGATTCTATTGGATTCCATTGGATTCCATGATTCCGGGGATTCCATTGGATTCCATCGGATTCCATCGGATTCCATTGGATTCCATTGGATTCCATCGGATTCCATCGGATTCCATTGGATTCCATTGGATTCCATCGGATTCCATTGGATTCCATTGGATTCCATTGGATTCCATTGGATTCTATTGGATTCCATTGGATTCCATGATTCCGGGATTCCATTGGATTCCATCGGATTCTATCGGATTCCATTGGATTCCATTGGATTCCATCGGATTCCATTGGATTCTATTGGATTCCATTGGATTCTATTGGATTCCATTGGATTCCATGATTCCGGGATTCCATTGGATTCCATTGGATTCCATCGGATTCCATCGGATTCT